CCAGAACACATCTTCATCCATATATTTACATGCCCAGCAGGAAACTCTCCCACCCCTTTTTCCTCTCTCTTTCAAAGCAATTTGTTTCAGTATTTTAGCATACAAAAAAAAAATAGAACCATTTTCTTCAATGTAAACAGAGATCTGCAGGGAAATAAGAGCGTTAAAAAAAGAATTAGCATTTGCTTGGTGGTGAAGCTGCTTTCATTTGTATCAGAAAGCTCTGCATGTTTAGAAGAGCTTGCCTAATGTTAGTTATTCCATACACAGGAGGGACCTAATTGGATAATTTTCTAATTTTTTTAATTGCATGTTTCTACATTTCTTAATGCAAAATGAGAAACGTTCTAGGAATAATAGAAATAATGGGCATTAGTTCCCTAAACATTAACAATCCATAATATACAATGTACCAGGTGCAAATTTATTTTTCAGTGCATGGTGAGCTGACAGCAGGAGGTACAGGGTGGCAACAGGTGAATTAAACAAAAGGAAAAAAAAAATCCATTTTTCTGCTCTCCATCAGTACTAATAGTAAAAGCTTATTAATTTTGGGCTCTGCATCTTAGGGATTTATTTAGGGCCTCAGATCAGCTGAGGTTCATCATTACACTAACAATAAGAAAATGGAATGTTTAGCAAATTAATAGTGTAAATAAGATTACGGGGGCGGGGCGAGGGGGAATATTTGGCTACCTAGAAAGACTTCTGTTTTCTAGCACTGGAAAACTGTCTTAGCAAATTATTAGTATTTAATACAAATAATTAGTCTTGCATGTTTGATTAGTATCTATCAAGGCAATTAAGATAAAATCTCATTTTGATAACAAGAGCTCTTTGTAACAATATGTTGTTAGTTCATGTTAAGGGGCTCCCTTAAATGATTTATTTTTTACCTACAGCATATTGTAGTGACCCAGCACTGGTTTTAGAGTGTTAATCAGAAATGTCTCGATCTGTCTCTAGCTGATGATAAACAAGTCTCAATCAATTTAGAAAGTTTATTTTGCCAAGGTTAAGGATGCACCCGTGACACAACCTCAGGAGGTCCTGAGGACCGGTGCCCAAGGTGGTCCTCATGTATACCTTGCTTTATACATCTTAGGGAGACATAATACATCCATCAATACGTGTAAGATTTACATTGGTTTGATCTGGAAGGGTGGGACAACCAGAAGGGTGGGGGCTTCCAGGTCATAGGTAGATTTAAAATTTTTCTGTTTGGCTGTTGGTTGAAAGCGTTATCAGTAGTAAGGAATGTCAGGGTTCTGATAAGGGGTTGTGGAGAAGAAGGTTTTATCATGCAGATGAAGCCTCTAAGTAGCAGCCTTCAGGAAGAATATATTGTAAATGTTTCTCATTAGACTTAAGGTCTGTGTTGATGTAAATGCTGGAGGGGTATAATGAAGGATGTTCAACTCCTCTTCCATCATGGCCTAAACTAGATTTCCATGTTAACTCTGGAATGCCCTTGGCCAAGAGGAGGAGGTTCATTCAGATGGTTGGGGGCCTTAGAACTTTATTTTTGGTTTGCAAGAGTTAGTAGCCCTGTAGTATATAGCCTAGGATTAAGGTATCCTTTAGAAAAGCTACTTAGGGTAGCAAAGCCTTAAATTTCTCGTAGGTCATATGAACAGGTGATCTGGTCCTAGATAAGTAGTTCTTATGGTAAGTATCAAAATGACCTCAGACAGTTTTCAAAATAGTCATGACTGTTCTTTCAACCTCTTCCAAAATTCTGATGTATACCCTAAATTAAAAACTAACGCCCTACATGATCTTCATAGATCCTAATTGTGCTCAAAATTATGTGGTTCAATATTGTATAATTCATAGTTTTCAATAATTTGATGCTTTAAAATATTTATTGTGTTTACTATGTGAAATCTACTACAATAGGAACTTCAGGGGATACGAAGATGAAAATCTATTATCTTTGCGTTCGTGGTGTTTGTAATATAATCTAGTAATTCTGTTGGGTTTTGTTCAGTTCCAAATCAGTGAGATTTTACTCTGTTTATATATGAGTTTAACCATTGTGAACTTTTAATGAGTAAACCCTCTTGCTCCAAAAGAAGCAAATTGTTGACAATAGAGCAGAATTTTTCAAAGTGAGGTCCTTTTACCATTCATCAGAATCATCTGGAAGAGGTTTTTTTTAAAAAATTAAGATTCCTGGGCCCACTCCAATCCTACTGAAACAGGATCCTTTGGGTTGACACAAGAATCTGAATGTTAAGCAGATACTCAAGGTGATTCTCAGAAACTAGAAGTTTGAGAAACACTGCCAAGATGAATAATATGGCAAAAACCATAGGTCTGAAAAAATGAGATCAAAATAGGTCAGCCAATACAGGCCCAGCTAGAGTTGCATTTTTCAGTTAAATGTAGATACATTTAGAGTTAAATGAGGAGAAATAATAAAAATTTTGTCTTTTTATGCCATATCGCCTTTGGGGGAAGTTGTAGTGCTTGAAGGCACATTTTCATCTGTGGAAACCCTCATAGATTATATATATATATATACACACACACACACACACACACTTTTTTTTTTTTTTTTGAGAAGAATAAAGCTGATTGAGCTCCTTTGTAGTTTTATACATTATAAAATCCCTTTTGTAGTTTTATGAAGAAAACTACATGCTTAGCAAATGCTTCTTTAATCAGCAAATGTCCTGGCAATAAATTGTCCATATAGCAATTTAATACCAGATCTTCTGATTCTTATTCTGGGGAGGGTGCTGTGATATACATAAATGTGTGTAGTCACATGCATACACACACATGCACTCAGACATCTTTAGATTATAAGTGGTATCTGTAGGGTATCACCGCTTTTCTTTTAATCCAGCATTGACTTACAACCATTCAAATAAATTAACATTCCCATCTTGATTCATTTGGTAGGAACAAATTTTCATGCCAGTATGTGGGCTCACCTCTATGACCTTTTCTCATAAAAAATACCAAGTGCTTTGGGTTTTTGTGTTAATGAGCATTGGGAAGCTGTCAGCTTTTATTTCTGTTTTTTGTTCAAGTCAACATCATTGACCTTCACCTAATCTATAACAGACACACACAGGTACCAGAGATTAAAAGTGGAAAGACAAGTAAGGAGAGATGCAGACAGAAGAAAGGTATGAAGGCAGGTGATTTGTAATTCATAATGTCACTAAAATGAGTAAAGTCACTTGAAAAGGAAAAGGAAAACTGCTATGTGCTGTATTTTCTTGCTTTAGGATTAGTGGGATGGGGTATTTTAAAATGAGTTTTCTGTTTGTTTTTGGAAAGATATTTAGCACCATGACATATGTGCTCCAGGTTTCTGAGTACCCTTTTCCATGATGATAAAAATAAAAATAATCTAGGGTCTTCTGATGAACACGTATGGATCCGATCCTTTTCTGTTACATATACTTCCACCAATTCTGCATCACCTAAGGTAACCAGCTGTCCTGGTTTGCCTAGGAACCTCTGTTTTAGTGCTGAAATTTTCCATGTTCCAGGAAATCCATAAGATGGAAATCTATAGTTCTGTCTGTTCACATTCTTTTATTATTATGATTATTTGAAAAGTAATGAAAGCATAGATGCCTAAAATGTGACAGTTTCAGTTTGGAGGCCTGTTTCATTGACCTAGAACATGAGTGCTGGGTGGATCTTTAGCTTTTTCACCTAGCACTTCTTTTCCAGATGAAGCAACTGGGGCTCACAGAAGTTGACTAACTTATTGCCTAAGTCTGCCCGGTTAGTTAGAGACAGATCCAGAACTTGAACCCAGGTTCCCTGACTTCTAATCCATGCTTGTCTCAAATTGCCATGTATGCTTGAAGGTGTGCTAGCCTCTCAAAGGAGTTAATTTGCTTTGAAAGACTGCATAATTTCATCCCAGAGAGAAGTTAATTCATTTAGATTGTGCTCCATTAATTGCTCCCTGGTATTCCTCTGCAAGAGATTATGAATTAATATTGAGCAGCAGTGGCAGAAACTTCTTCCCCACGGTGAGGCTGTCTTCTCTTGTAATCACAAACACTGCATCATCCTTGAAGAGGAAGAGGTTAATAAACATATCATTCTGTGGAAGAGGTGCTGTGATCCTGTTATTTCTATTAATATTTCCAATTAATATTTTTTCTTGAAATAGTAAGTCAAAAACAGCATTTGCTGATTGCCTTCTGCTGTTTAGAAGATGAGCACATAAATGTTAAATGTTACTCCCTCTGAAAGACTTTTATCACTATCTTAAGCCTATATTTTATTTATAGATTAGGCTCAATATTCTGAACCAGCTTCCACATCTTCCATCTGTTCTGTAATATCTCTGCCATCAAATCAGAAAAAAACCCTAACAACAGAATCTTGAAATTCAACTTGAAAAATTCAAAAGCCAAGTCAATATTTTCATTGAGAGATGACAGCCCTGATGACTTTCTTAAATTTGAGCTATTCTTCCAGACTGAATTACAGAATTAATAGACCACCTTTTACTCTTGTCTTAAGACTCATCAACAAAGACTCATGTTACTTGATTAGTTGAGGAGCAAGGATTGTTACGGAATTTTCCCAATGTCTAATTTTATTTCCTTGGTTAAATGAATCAGTAGAAAAATTTTAGGCTAATATGTTTCTTTTATATTTCTTCCCACTTTAAAAAAATCCTGTAAATCAGCAGTATTTAACGTTCCAGGATGATTAGTACATTAAGGAGAATTTTTATTGAATCAATGCTTTTTATTGATGTATCTTTGGTGATATAATCTATAATTGGCATTAACTAGTGGTAACTAATTGTAGCTTTCTCCACGTAAATGTCCAATTCAAGATTCCTAAAGTAGGATGCCTTAGAGTAGTTCAGTATATACTAAGGCTAGCTCACCCTTTGAATGAATCAATTTTGTTGAAAAATAATCTGACCTGCCAAGAGTATGTGATTGCATAGGGGCCATTTGAGCTGGTGACTGTAATCTTGATTGCCACCTGTCTCTTCTGTTATCAAGGGGATCATCCAAGATGGGAAGATCATCTTTATGCCGAATGGATATATAACACAGTGTCCAAATCTAAATCGCAGTAAGTAGCAACTTAAAGCATTGTGATATATAACTTGTTGATCATATCAGAGAAACACATCTGGAAAGATAGACCCAAATTGTTTACAGTGTTGACTTCTGAGGTGCTGGGGATACTGAAAGAGAACTTAATATCTACATTATATAACTCTGTGTCTTTAAAAAAATATGTATCATTTATTGGATTAATTGGTTTTCTCACTGCTTATAAAGACATACTGTAGTCTTTATAAACTTTATAAACTATGGACTGGGTAGTTTATAAAGGAAAGAGGTTTAATTGACTCACAGTTCCACATGGCTGGGGAGGCCTCACAATCATGGTGGAAGGCAAAACAGGAGCAAAGTCACATCTTACATGGTGGCAGGCAAAGAGAATGAGAGCCAAGTGAAAGGGGAAACCCCTTATAAAACCATCAGCTCTTGTGAGACTTATTCACTACCATGAGAACAGTATGGGAGTAACTGCCCTCATGATTCAATTATTTCCAACTGGGTCCCTCCCACATGTGATAATTATGGGAGCTACAATTCAAGATGAGATTTGAGTGGGGATGCAGCCAACCCGTATCATTTATTGAATTAAAATTTGAAAAGAAGAGTTAGCAGATTCTATTGGTGGATATAGAAAGATATGTTTAATATATATTTTAAAAAACTATTCATTAAGATTCTTGACCTGGATGAGAGTTTACTTTTTCTTCTTCTATGATACTTAACATTTTTTCAGTTACCTCCCTGTAAAAATGAGAGTTTAATTTTAACTTTAAAATGTCATGTTGCCTTTCTTTTTAGTTAACAGTGCCTTTTTCCTGTTCCTTTCTTTTTGCTTATTAAAATAGGAAAAGATCCAGACCTGAAATCCTCTGTGATTTCACTCAAATTTCAAAGCAATATTGACCAAAAAACCCCCAAAAAACTCTTCTACATAGTCACATATCTACTGTTTTAAAATTTTATTGCTTATATTAGCACAATATAAATATACATTTTATATTTTCTTTATTGAGCTTGCCCAACCTGCAGTGATTTCTTAAGCCTGGTACAAGGAATAATGGATTTACAAGAGCTTTTGGCCAAGATGACTGCAAAAGTAGGTATCTAAATTTCACTTGTGATGTTTCATTTCTTTTTCTGTCCTATCTGGAATTCGGAGTGATGTGTTATAATGGAAACATTTTTAGCCTTGGCATCTGCTATATGTTACTACAAAAATGTTTTATTCTTACTCAAAATAGGACTACCAATAGTAAACATAACCATTCCTGTCTTTGGTGCTATTAAGCTGTATCATAATGTTTACTTGAAAAATGTTTGGAAGCAAGAGGCAATATGTATCACTGTAGATTCTATGGGAGTGGAAAAGGAATTTGCCCATTGGCTGTTAAAGTAGTAATACTGTAAGATGATCTATGGTCAGAGCCACTGCTCTTATAAGCTAATGCATTTTGGATGTAAGAATAATTGCGCATAATCGGAAGGGGCAAAATAGCTATGGTTAGGAACAGATTACTGTCAAAGGAAGGCATTACATTCCATTTTTAATGTATAATTCATTTCAAGGCTGGTTCTGAGTTAAATAGCAAAGGAGGCCAAATTTGCCTTTCAACACCTTTGTTTTTATAATTCTGCACCTTTTCCTCCTCTCCATTCCATCATCCACTTAACAAGCATCTTTTGAGGACCTGCTGTTTGCTGGGCACTGTGTTGGGCACAAAGAGGCAATGGTGAGCAAGACATACTTTCTACCCTAGATATTTTCATATTGAGTGGCAGAGCCCAGTGTGTCAACAACTAAGGGCTTTAATATATATTCATAAAGTGTATATTCATAATGAAAAGCCTTGAGCCTTGTTGAAAAAGACACTGAAAAAATAGAAAATGTGGCTAATGCTGTTGTTATCATACCAATCAGTCGTGGACATGAGTTCCAGCCTAGGGCGAAGAAAGAATTAGGTTGGCCCTAAGAGACATTATACTCTGCCAAAGGAAGAATTTTAATAACAGTGAAAATGATACATTAATCCTATTGTACCTGCGGCTAAGACTGCTCCCTACCATTAGCCATGGCATGTGCAAAAAAATTGGTGGGTAGGTAAGCGTTTGCGAGATAAGGCTATATTTTGGACCCATGGATTGTGCTGCTGAAGACAATGTTTCTATTTCAAACTGGGTTTTTGGCTAAGCCAAGCCCCTTTTTGTCTGGAAAGGAGAAATGCATAATTTTTGTGAGAAAACGATTGAGACTGGGGCTTAGATCCGAAGCATTAGCTTTTCACTTCAGAGTATAGTGGGAATGTGAAACGCAGGTGATTATTTGCCTTCCCAGCTTGTGTCATGGAGAGGCTTTTATTTCATATTGTCTGGAGCAGCTTGATCTCAATACTGTTAATTATATTTTAGCATGCTACCAAATTTTTGGAACAGGAAACATGCCACTCAGTCTCAGGTGACTGTGGTTCTTCATTCTCCAGCTTCGAGGACGTCATTCTTTCCCATTGCAGAGAATGTCATTTTTCTCTTTTTAGCCACACATCATCTAGGAACTACATTGAGCTCTATTCTCAAAACATTATTATATAAAATGGGCATTTGTGAGGCAGAAGATATTTAATTGTGGGCAATTGCAAGCAGCAAATGGTTTAATCCACTTTCTAAACCTCCCTTTGGCACTTTGGCAGATTTTTAAGTCTGTTCCTTCCAAACCGTGTATAGAATTACAATTTGAAAACTGAGTACTTCCATCTTTGCTGCGTAATTTGAAATCTGTGATCATCTAGAATAAGCATTGGCAAACTTTTTCTGTAAGGGACCAGCTACTAAATTTTGGGACTTGCAAGCCAAGAGGCAAAATCAGGGATATTATGTGTAGACTTAGTTCATTTAAGTATAATCATTTAAATTATAACTCTTGAAAACTATAAAAACCATTCTTAGCTTACAGGACATACAAACGTAAGTAGCGAGCGAGATTTGGTCCACTGGCCTTAGTTTGTCAACCGTTGATCTAAAAGAAACGGAAAATCAGTAATACAAGCATTTACTATGTATTAGTTATAATGCTTAAGCTTTTATATCCACTGTCACTTTAATCTTTACCACAGTCCTTTGAGCTTGCTTTAATTTATTAGTCTGCTTTACAGATGAGATGATTGAGGTCCAGGAAGGTCTGATAACTTTTCCTAAGAGAGTAGATGCAGAGCTGGGACCTGAACTCAGGTAGTTAGATCCTGAAAGTTGAATCATGACTGAGAAAGTTTATGGTTTGACAAGATAGGGTTAGGAAGAGAGATAAAAGATATAAATAGGGAGTAATATTACTCTTTCTAACCCTCTCCATCCACTGGCAGAAGGATGGAGATACTACTAAGAATGAGCAAATAAAAAGAGAGGAAAAGAGAAATGAATGTTTGATCATTTTATTGAGCTGAACTAAAGTTTTCAGATCACTCCTGTTGGGAATGAAATGTATGAACATAGAACTTGTAGTAACTTTTCAAAGAGGAAGGTTATGGCAAGGGCTAGGTCTCTTTTTTATTGTATTATTTTATTATTTTTTAAAGAATAAGGTCTCTTAATGCACCCTTTTGGCTATGAGCTGCTTGTTTTCCTTGGAAATATGTGAAAATTCTTTGACATTATCTACTTAAGTATTTTCAGACCAGATTGCTCAGAATCAGACTGCTACACCTAGGATAGGCCAGGTGAAGTCTCAGGAAAGTATTCCTTAAGGATTTTCAAGGAAGATTTTTTTTTTTTCCTTCTAGCTGGCGCCAAGGTCTGAACATGAAAGTTTTCTTTCTTTGCCTTGTGCAAGCCTGCTGCTTTTTGGTCACTCTAAGACTGACGGTATCACATGTTAGTACCAAATCTTTATATAGGGGCTTCCTTTAAAGTACCCAACTTGGGAAGATACTTTTTCCCAGCTCTGTCCCCTATACCCTGTGCAACCACCAGGGTAGAAGCTCAAGGGCTCCACATTTCATTAGAAATCTTCAGGATGTTGTTGTCTTTAGTGCTCACTTATTTCCTGGGATCCCTGCAGTCACTTTGTTTTGGACTCCGTGACTTTCTTCCTTTTATATTAGCTCAGTGACAATTTTCAAAAGTTTTAATTTATATATTGAATACAGCAGTTTAGTTGGTTCAGTTGGTGAAGTCCTTCAGGGTATGTAGTCTGCCATCTTGGTGGAGGCAGAAATGTAACTCACTCTTTTGGCAGATGGAAGGAGATGGAGTCTGGAGATGTCAGGCAGACTTGAAGTTGAATATGGTTCCCAGATGCAAAAGGAATTCTATGGCACTAAATTTATCTGGGCCCAGTCTTTATTTTTAATTAAATAGGCCGATTGTGGCAGAATTTGGTTAATGGGGCTGGAGGTAATTTTTGGAGGTTTGATTTGAGTTGTCCAGCAGTTCTGATTAAGATGAGTAGACAGTCGTATAATTCATAGTGGAGATAGAGAATGGGCTTTAAAGTCAGGCTGATAACGATTCTGAGTCTCTATTTTATAATCTCCTTGGATATTTGTAGCTTTGAATAAGTTATTCGACTTGTTTCAGCATCTGTTTCCCCATATGTAAAATGGTGACAATTATTCCTGCTCTTGTAAAGATTCTGTGAGCCCAGGTAAATGAGGTTTGTTGCATGTCACAGAAGTGTCATTCATTAGGTGGTGGCTGCTGCTATTTGTACCCTTAAACCTAGAAAATATAGACAACCATGGGGGGATGATGGTTCCTTAGAGAAAATGGTCTTTAAGAAAATGCACATCTTACCCAGTGACTTGAAATCACAAAGTCTGGTAGAGCCTGTACATTGCTGTCAAGACCCTAGTCTGGGAGTCCTGGGAAACAGCAGGAAGTCCTTCCTCTTGGGTCAAGGTGGAAACCCTGGAACCCTTCCAGAGAGGAAACTCTGTGTACAAGCTGGATAGGAATTGGTAGCCAAAATCAGAACCAAACAGATGTAGATACCAGATCAGTCCAGGGGTCTGTGTAGGAGAGCTCACTGTTCCTTTTCTCCTTTTAGGGTTAGGCATGCTGGCAAGTGACTGTGCCCTTGCTTGATACAGGACAGAGGTCAGGGTAGATAAGAGCTCTGTTGAGGAATTCTGGCATTTTGGCAAAACTATACTTTTTTTAAGGCAGAGAAGAGATGGGGCTGCTACCTCAAGTAATAACCCTTTTTTGTCCTCCTCCGTTTCCCTTAGTGATCTACAAGCATCAGCCACACCCCTGGCTTACTCTGAAGGTTCTCTCAGGTGGTTTTGACATTGTGGGAACTACCTACCTGCTGGGAACATTGTGACAGGGTCAGGCTCTGTCCTGCTATCAGATCCCAGCTGCACTGTAATCCCATTCTGACTTCAAGCTCAGAAAGAAGAGATACTGAAGACTGGGACTTTCTTGATTACTTCTGTTTAAATATTTGTGACAAATCTATGTATGCAAATCAAGCCACACTTGGAGTGGCATTTAAGCTTGTAACATCTTTAATTTTGAGACTTTCATTCTTTTGAGGAATTCAATAATGAATTTTCAATTAAGCTCAAATGTTTAACAATAGAAGCCTGTTTTTTCCTTTCATATAGCAAATGCCAAATAAATGTATTTCAAAGAAAAGAAACAATCCACCACACGACTAATATACTTAGATCCGTTCATTGACCTCTGACGATTAAAAAAAGGCCTCTGCTGTCTGTCTTTCATTGTGTAGAGTTAAGAATAAATGATTTGGTCCCTGGTGCTTAGATAAAGGCATAAACAAAAGGAAGACAGAATGGAGATGTAGATTTGATACCATATCTATTTTGAATCTGCAGACAATCTTAGAGAAAGTGGCAGGTAGTATAGAAATAGCTTTTGAAAATGAATGTGTATAAATCCAGCATGCTAATACCAATGACAGAAAATGTAATTCATTTTTTGATTCACAGTTGTTTGTCTCCTTTATTGCTCTTTTAGGATTTAGCAGGAGCGAAAGGGAAGGCAAGAGGTTACATGAAGCATCTTTGAAAAATTAGCTTTTTGCCTTAACATCCCTTTGCCTTTGTGTCTATTTGATGTGCTCTTATTATTACAGAGAATAGGACTTTTCAATGTTGTCAGGAAAGGCTAAAAATATTAAAAATAAAAACCACATTCAGAAGGGAAACAAAATCAGCCTTGAGAATAGCTTTTATTATATTAAAACTGACATTTTCCTTGGAATTGAGTTTTGTAGGTGAGCATAGCTCAGCTTTGTGGGACAGTGCTAGAAATTGCCACTGTTACCCTTAGGCAAGCTCCTGGATTTTAAGAAAGCTTAGATAGATGTAGAATTGCCTTTTGGGCCATTTAGTCTGTAAGAAGTTCCCTTTTTGGAGTGATACAGACACCAGAATTGTTTCAGATTTTCAGAGTAAGTCAGGAATGAGTCTTCTCACAAAGGTACACAATTCTGAGACCCTTTTAGGAGGAATGCAGATCTGGTTCAACTCTGTTGTTCAATCCAAGGCCATATATCTGTTACTGCCCTTATGTAGGAACTACTGGGGCTATAGAAATGAAGTAAAGATAAGTGAGAAGTTGTCACTTTCTTTTTATTGAGATTCCACATCTGTAGATTCAACCAACCATGGACAACAATATTTAGAAAAAAATTCCAAAAAGTTACAGAGAGTAAAACTTGAATTTTCTGTGTACCAAGTACTGCATTGAATCCATGTGAATGAATTGATGTTTAGACATTGTATTAGGTATTATAAGTTATTTAGAGATGACTTAAAGTATATAGGAGGATGTGCATATGTTATATGCAAACTATACTATTTTATATAAAGGACTTGAACATTTTCAGATTTTGGTATTGGCAAGTGGCCAAACCATATGCCATCATCCCTCAGAGTCCAAGAGTATCACCAAACTCAGAAGTGTATTTTGTCTGTTTCCTAAAGCATTGCCAAATAACTTAATTATCATAGATTCTATAAACTCTATGATTAAGCTGGAGTTTTGTTGTATTAATTTATTTATTGAGACGGAGTATCGCTCTATTGCCCAGGCTGGAGTGCACTGGCGTGGTCTTGGCCTACTGCAACCTCTGCCTCCCAGGTTCAAGAGATTCTCATGTCTCAGCCTCCAGAGCAGCTGGGATTATAGGCGCCTGCCACCACACCTGGCTTTTTTTTTTTTTTTTTTTGTATTTTTAGTAGAGACAGGGTTTCACCATGTTGGCCAGGCTGGTCTCGAACTCCTGACCTTGGGTCATCTGCTCGTCTTGTCCTCCCAGTGTGAGTCACTGCACCTGGCCTGGGTTGGGGTTTTAAGTGAAACATAAATTTTTAGAAGATCATGCATATTAGAAGGAGTGATAGGAAGCTAACATTTCAGGCAGCGTCAACTCTTAGGTCTTTAGGGGCTGCTCATGGTGCATGGTGGTTGGTCTAAGATCCTACTTGTTGTTTTTTCTGCCCTTTGCTACCACCCATAAAAGGCAGACAAGGGGCAAGTTTTCTTGAGAAATTCCAAAAGCTTGGAGGAAGAGGATGAAATAAATGACAAAAACAAAGGTTAGAATTACATGTGGATTCCATTTCCAGAGAGTAGTTCTGGTATGAGTAAGTCGGAGGAATGTGTATGAAATGGAACCATAGTTAATGTAGAAAGATGGTGGAAGTCTTTCCCTAGATTTATCTATTATATTTAAAATAGTGGCTTAAAACAATCTTAGTTAGATCAAATGTTGAATTGATCTTCTGTATGGGGAAAGTACTTAAGACATGAAAGGATAAACATGATTGAGAAGGGAAAAAGAAACTCAGATAATTTTCTAGGAAATGATACTTGTTTTTCAGTCATGGTGGTCTCTATGTAAGGAAAGGGAAAGGGAGAGTAATATCACTACTAGACTGAGTTACTCTTTCATATGGATGTGACGGTAGACAGATCATATCAAAGTGCTGTATTTAGGGTTTTTTTGCACCATATTTTTGAAGGTAAACTGGAGTAGGCTGTATGAAAAGTGATCAGAAGAGAGGCTTGGAATCATATCATGAGGGGCTGTTAAGGGAAACTGGTCGTGCCAAGTGTGGTCAAGACGACAGGATAACCTCAAATGCATGAAGATTAGGTTTGCTCAGGATAGGTTACAATGAAAACCTAGGCATGGCAGGAAAAAAAAAAAATTTCACAGCCAAAACCATGAAAAATGTTTCAAACATTGAGAGCTAACTGAAAAAAGTGGCTTTCCTTGGAAGATAATACATGTTCCTCCACTGGAGATGTGCAAAGGCTAGATAATCACTTGAGGTTTCTTGTGAGGATATTTAAGATTTATAATCCCTTTCCAGCGGGAGAGTCTAAGACTCTGTGATTATTGGCAATGACTGGGTGGCCTAGAAAAATAAAAAAGGTTATTTTACAAAATTCTGATCTTACCTGGGGGTTTGGTTACTTTTCCTGACCTTCTTCTAAACACAAAAGTGAATTCCTGGGGCATTCTGTTTGGGGGATCCTCTTACAACTTTTCTTTTTTTTCTGGCCTCAGTTCTCCAGAATTTTTCATCAGACAGAAGGCAGTGACTTCCTAGTTTGTAAACCATGACATTCTAATTAGTGTGTGAAGAACATAGAGAGGATAGTGGGAGATAAATGTAAGAACCTTGGAGTTCCTGATTAGATCGCCTGTAAACATCATAATGAGTCCTTGAGAACACATTCATTATGAGTGTTTTTGTGTGGGCTTGAATGGAAAGCACACACGTTTATGAACACCCATGAGGTTCCTGAGATACAGTTTAATGTCTCATTTGGTATTCATTAGACCATGATAGCCAATATGTCTTCAATTTAGAGTGATTCCACCTTGTGTAAAAAAATAAATAAAACAAAAAACAGATAATGCTAAGAATCAGTGAACTGCTCTGAGCACTTTCTTCTCAGAAGGGTTTTTTTTCTTGTTGCTATTAGCTTTGTTAGGATGATGCAATTGAATTACAGAAATTACATTCAGTAACTCTTGCTTGCAGCTAAATTATGCAGAGACAAGACTTAGTCAATTGGAAAACTGTCATTGTGAGAAGACTTGTCAAGTGAGTGGACTGCTCTATCGAGACCAAGACTCTTGGGTAGATGGTGACCATTGCAGGAACTGCACTTGCAAAGTAAGCCTCTTTGTAAATAAATACAGTAAAAACAATTGTAAGGGGACAAGTTTGATAATTAGAGTGTAACCTGGTTCTTTAATAAATAATGTTAACTCTAAGAATTGTTAGGTTTTTACTTAGCACCCACTAGCCATATGAGCAATTGTGAAACAATGCTGGAAAAGTGTCATGTCTTACATGAATACTTGGAAATTAAAATCTGCTTTCCCTTGCCAACACACTCTAGTTTGATTTAATATGCAATGGTTGGAGTTTGAAGGTTGGGATATAGTAGAAAGAAGGGACTCCTTTGATTTTCAAACAACCTAATGGTTATCCTTATTCACAACCAGAATAACTTTGAAAGGGGAGTTTAATTATTCTCTACATGTTTTTATTGTCTTTTACAAAGTGTATCCATCACCTGTTTCAAATAATTGTAAGGCGTTTCCTCCCTGACTCACTATCACTGTCAGGATATCCATTATTTGTATATCCCTTCATCTGTTTCAGTGAATTATAACAGCCCCCTCCAAAAATTAGTATGTAATCCCTGTCCAGTTGAAATTACTTGATAAATATCCAAAGAATGCCATTGTTTGTCTAGGAAAATACAAAACAGATTGTTAGAGCCTCAGAAATGATTGACAGGGTCTGCAAATGTGTTATTTATGTTCTTATAAAAATAGACTTTTTGTTTTCTGCATAATCTAGTTAGCATACATGGGCAGGTAGAATGAAACCAGTGATGTATTTCAGAAACGTAATTGAGGTGGTACGGGTCATTCGGGCTGGAGAAAACACTTTATTTGTGGTCCTGGAGTGGACTGGGAATTCTAATACTGCTTCTGTTTCCCCGATGAGTTTTCTAGGATGAGATCTGAATGATCTCCACAACAGGAGCTATCAAAGGATACTTCTGAGATTATGTTCCATGTGCTTCCTTCCTCAGAGTGGTGCAGTGGAATGCCGAAGGATGTCCTGTCCCCCTCTCAATTGTTCCCCAGACTCCCTCCCGGTGCACATTGCTGGCCAGTGCTGTAAGGTCTGCCGACGTAAGTACTGACTGAGGGTCAGACTGGCTGTCTGTGTTTTGAGATTTATTTATTTTCCGTGTTTTTCTGGACTCAACTCATTGACATTGATGAAATGAAACATTGGCAGTTGATGTAACATTAAATATATGGTAAGAAGAGCCACAGTATTTTAATCACTTGCAACGTGGCAGACACTTAACATGGGCTTTTTAAAAAAAAATCCTAACATCAACTGTAATTACTGTTCTTCTTTCATTCTCTGTGGAAGGAACGTGTGTTCACAGGGATTAAGTCACTTGTCCAACAAGTGGGTGAGGCTGATCTGTGAATTCACAACTCCAAAGCTCCATAGGCTTTAGTCCCCTCATTCTAAGTGATCAAGTTAAAGGCCAAATTCTGTATTTTGGCTTTCTGAGGTTTTGGCTAGATTCTCCTCTTCTTAAGGGGCCTTTGTTAGGAACTTCGGGATGAAATTCAGTTAAAATATGGAAGCTATCATTTAGAACATGTGGTATGTGCCATATACTGTGTTGGATGCTTTAAATCTACTAGCTTAGTGAATTCACACAGCAACTGTTGAGGTGGGTATTATTATTATCCCTATTTTACAGGAAGCTGAGGCTTAGGGATGTTAACTTACCAAGATCATGAGGCTGGTGAGTGGCAGAGGTGAGACAGAAAACTAGTTCTGTTGACTACAAAGCCCATAGCCTTTTTATCAATCCATATGGTCCTCTACAGAAAAGGAGAGTTCTGGTCAGAAATGTATGCTATGGATAATTTTCAAGGTCATTTATTTACCAAAAGAAACACACCAATGTCAGTAGCCTTCAAAGCACAGTGGTCTATCATTCTGCCAGGAACAGCATGTCACCTATTATGACACTGAAAGTGGGAATAGCAGTGAAAGTGGGTTGCAGCAGCCCAAATAATTGTTGAACTTTTCAAAAAGGAACTTTGTAATCTTCCTTTTTTTTATGGTTGGCACACTGCACCCATTGCTCTGGGGGATGTACTTGGAGTTGCTCTAAGGAGAAGAACTTTCTTATTTCTGTTCCAAGGACTTTTGGAAGTCATGTCTGGCAATATATGCAGCTCAGGTGTCTGGATACTGAATTATATAGTTTGATCCCATGATGGAGAGAGTTGTTGGTAGGTACAGATTATTTGGTTTCATTCTTGATATTCTTCAGCAGAAGAAGTTGAAAAACTATTAGGGGCCAAGCACGGTGGTTCATGCTTCTAATCCCAGCACTTTGGGAGGCCGAGGCGGTCGGATCACTTGAGGTCAGGAGTTTGAGACCAGCCTGGCCAACATGGCAAAATCCTCTACTAAAAATACAAAAATTAGCTGGGTGTGGTGGTGGGCACCTGTAATTCCACCTATTCTGGAGGCTGAGGCAGGAGAATTGCTCGAACCCAGGAGGCGAGGCAGAGGTTGCACTGAGCTGAGATTGTGCCACTGCACTCCAGCCTGGGCAACAGAGTGAGACTGTGTCTCAAAAACAAAAAAACAAAAAAAGCAAAAAACAAACAAACAAAAAAACAAAAAAGAAAAGCTATTAGGGATGTATTAAAAAATGTGAGATGTTTTAGTCTATCATTTAGAGTTCCTGCACAGATCTCTGAATACCATCTCTTCGAAGTTGTTGTTTGGACATGGAAGTAATGAGTCCTTCAGCGGGTTTGTGTCTTAACGTTTTGATATTTTTAAAAAATTATAAAAGCACTGTGCTTTTGGCTTAACATTTTCAGAACACAGAGAATGATAAAGATCAAGATGGACTTATTCACCCATAATACCTCCACTTAGAAACACTCTTGAAATTTTAGTGGCTGTGTCCTTTTTTTAAAAAAACAAATTATATTTTGTGTGCAGTTGAGGTTGTACTGTGCGGGCAATTTTTTATTCTGGTCTGTTAACTTGCCATTGTCACTTAAATATATTATTATGTTTTAAAAACTTCTTCATAAATGTCATTTTCATGAGCTTCATTGTTTCCCATTGTTTGGCTGTTGCATAACTTTTTTTTACCAGTCCCAAATCATTGATATCTAGATTGTTTCCCACTTTTCACTATTATAAAGTACTCTTAAGTAACATGTTTTGTATAGAAAACACATTTTTGTATATTTTTGTATTTTACATTTCCTGAAGATATATTCTTCAGGCTAGAATTACTGGGCCAAAGATGAACATTTTCAAGACCCTGGATACATAGAGTTAAATTGCCCTCTCACTAGATGTGTGTGGGACAGTCATTTTTCTTTATGCTAATTTGTTTGATAGTTTTAGGTTTTAAAAATTATTTCAGAAAATAACTCAATTTTTTTTAAAATGTTGATACATGCACTAACTAAAACATCAGTGTTTCTATTTTTTTTCCTTTGCATAGAATTCATAGCAATTTAGTTACGTAGCACTAATTTTCTCATAGCTCTGATTGGTAGTTTGATGTGTTCAGAGTTTAATAAAGTGGGAATACAAATACATTATTAAAACACTATTCTAGAAAAACTTAAAAAGAAATGATACAAGGCACCTCTGGTAATTAAAAGGTTGAGAATCTCTGGGCTAGAGGGCTTTCGTTTCTTACTAGTTTTTAATAGAAATATGCATTAAGTGGTTACTGAGTACTGGTGCCTGGAATAATGATGAGGGATCCTTCCCTGCTTTAGAGGAGCTCACTTTCAAGGCAGAGACATGGTTTATAGTGTCTGGAACTATAAGTGCACTAACATTAGGCATGTGTACGGAGCACTGTTGGAGTACACAGGAATGGCCTGGGAGGGAGGTGGAGGATACCGGGGAAAGGCCTGGGATGCTTCCTGGAGGACATGGAGCCAAGTTAAATATTTTGAACCTTCTAGAAGTTGACTTTGATGGGTTAAGCAGTGGGGTGGAGAAGAGAATGAGGATTGCTAGAGCAGAGTTCTAACACTAATCAGTGGAATTTCTAGACATTTTCAACGTCTTCATATCAGAAACATGATAGAGAATATTTACTTCGGTTGTCCCTTCTAAAGATAAGTATGTGAAGTAATGCATATGTTAGTTGTTAGCCATACCACAGTGCCTATGTATTTCAAAACATCATGCCGTAGACCGTAAATATGCATACCTTTTGTCAGTTAAAACATAATAATAAAATATTTTTTAAAATGACAAAAAATAAAGTGTATCTTGTATGAATAACTCATAGTCAAATCTTTTTTTTTAATCCAGTCTGACAGTCTGGATTGTTTTGTTTGAATTGGATCCTTTAATCCATTCACACTTAATGTTGTGAGGGATATAATTGAAACTACTGTTTCCTGAGTACCATGTTTTTCCTTGGTTTGGTTGCTTATTTTGATTTTTTTCATTTTTTTGTGGAGCTGCCTGAAGTAAATTTCTTTTATGTGAATTTAAAGAAAAATGCCCAAGCTTCTAGGGACACCAGGTAAAGGCAGGGACATGACAAAGGCAAAATGAGCCAATATGTAAAAGCAGATTGTGTTGTCTGCTCACTCACTGGGTGTTCACGGACTTCTTTTGGCCTTGGGAGCTACAGCACTTACAGATGAGGGCATCTGTTTAGAAATAGGAAAGAACTTTATCTAAGCATCCATGGGCGGTACAGAAAATAGGGAGTTTCATTCCTCAAACATTTGTTAGGTGTCTGCTCTATTCAGGGCATGTTTAATATACCTAGTTGCATGTTAAAATTCTCTGGTGAACTTCTTACACTTGGAGGTTTCCAGGGCTCCACCTAGACCTGCATAATCACAATCTCCAGGCAGCAACATCCTGAAATCTGTATTATTTTGGTAGACAGATTTGAGATCTACCAGAGATAGAAGGAGTGAGGAAGATGGAGAAAAAAATAATTTCTTCCATGCAAAACAGTATGTGTGAAGGAATAAGAGTGGAAGAGGGAAAGGGGAATAGTGTATTTGATGATAACACAGGATTTTTGTAGGTAAGAGTTTGAAATAGAGCTGCAAACCTGAGTGGCGGATGGATGATGAAGATGGTGAAGACATTCAGTAATTCTTACTGAGGTCCTTCTGCCACTATTGTCAGTTCTGGGGGCAACAGGTGACACATATGGATCATTTACTCTGACAGGCACTGTATTTAACCTTTTATATATATTAATTCATTTAATTCTTCCAGCAACTCTAAGTGGTAGGCTCCACTATTATCCCCATTTTACACATGAGGAGGTGAAACCCAGAGAGGAGAAGTGACTTGTCCAAGGTCTCTCAGTTTTCGGGGAGCCAAAATAAAGCCCTGGCAGTCTGGCTTCAGAACCCAGTGGGATGCTCTTGACCTGTTGGCTCTACCCATTGTTCTCCAGAGAGATCTCTGTTACAATAAAGAGCATTATTTCACATTAACACTATGGAAGACATAGAAGGCACACAGAGAAGGGAGTAATTAACTCCATCTGAAACGTACATATGTATGTGTGTGTTAAGAAAATATCATAGGCAACAGCTGAGCAGGGTATTGACAAATGAAGAGTTTTCCAGGCGTACAAAGTAGATAAGAACATAACTGCCAGAGGGAATTGCACACACAAAATCATGGAAATAAACCAATGTTGGTTTTGGTACTCCAATCAAGGTTTTAATGCAGAGTTGTGGCATAATCAAAGATGTGCTTTTAGAAAGGCTACTGCATCAAGAGAGCTGGAGGTGGTGGGGGGTATGGAACTTGGGCGTATTCCAGGTGGAGGTGTTGAGGCTGGCAGGCAGGCACAGCCTGGGAAGATGCAAAGGAAGGGAAGGGTGTGGGTGACAACCAAAGGAGCTGGCACATTAGAGATACTCCACAGGTACTGTTTTGCATGAGACAAATGGATCAGGGACAGAGCATCTGCAAGGGAGAAATTGCCAGGTTTTGAACAAGAGCATGTGGGAGACTCATGGTGTGATTAACAGAAATAAGACAGGTGGAGGAAGCAGTTTGGGGAGCAGTACATTCCGTTTGACATGTTTGAGTTAGAGATGCCTGAGGACAACTAGTTTGATGTGGGTGTCTTGCTCATAGAGGTGGTATCTGAAGCCAAGGCTGTGAATCAGCTCACTAAGGGAGGAAGGATGCTTGGGTGTTCAGCCTCTCTGATCTGCCACTCTCCTTTGAAGTGTAAAACACTGTGCTGATTTTGACATTCTAGGCCGCTGAGTACCAACGGATGGCTGAAGTGTGTGCAGGGTACAAATACCTAAATAAAGATAGGGAAACCTTACATCCACATCTGACAGGGACGTCAAGCTGTACCTGTCAATTGGTTATTCAGTGTGCACCTGAATGGCAAAAGTCTTCAATTATTGCACCAGACAAATCAAGGTCAAAATTGAAGGGCCAGGTGTCTGTGGGTGCAAAAAGATACACTGCATAACTCTTTATATCCTTAGTACATTTGTTTCTGACATAATGGAGAAATGTGTGTTGGTGCTAGGTTTCAATTTTGTGTTTGGGCACTGCAAAATATTCTAGTTTGCATGTCACCAGTGTGATATGAAGAGCTTTAGGTATTCATTTACATTTCTAATTACACTGAAAGCTGTTGGAATGGAGTCCCAAATGCCCCAGCCAAACGCACCAGAGCCTGACTCACCTTATGCTTGAATTTCCTCAGGCATAAAAAAATGCCTTTTGGCTATAGATCAAGAGGTTGGATAATGAGGACTGATGTTAGGCATAGGAATGCAATGGCAGGGAAGGAGGGCTGTTGTCAGAGAAGTGAGGATGAGTATGAGAGAGCAGGAGAAATTCTTGTGACCTCTAGTGGTGATCCTGAAAGTCGTCCTAAGATAATTTCATAGATACATACATTATTCACCAGTGCCAAACTGCAGATGGTTGAGGCATGCAGTAACATGTTGATCTCATTCGCCAGCACCAAAGCACCCTGCTATGTGAGGACATAAAGTTCAGTGGACATTTAATTTTTATAAGAGACTGGTGGATTTGAGGGGTGGATGTGTCTCCATGTGTGGTGTGAAAGTAAACAATGAGGCATTTTTATCTACCGATTAGGAGTTCTGAGATGAGCCTCTCAAAGGGGAAGAGAGGATTTGGACAAGTGCCTTAAGGCAGGGGAGCAAATGTGTTAATACCATTGTGGGAGTGGCAAGGGGCAAAGGAAGAACAAATGTCTATTTCTTTGCTTCCCAGCTTGGGCCAAGAAGCAGATGGCAGATTTGACAACAGTGCACTTAGCAGAACTGTCACTCTGGAACATGCTGCCTTGCCAAGTTGGCAGCAGCCACATTTGGGAGTGTGGGAGTTTATTAGACAGGAATTCCAGACCTTGGAGGTGTGGTCTCCCCATACAGGTACACTGGGAAATCCAGCTCTCATTAGGATCCACAAGTCATGGTCAGCCGATTTATCTACAAAATTGAGGTATAAAAGATGATCAGGGATAGATTTTGTTTAGTGAAGGACCTATCCAGACAATTATATTAATTCTCCATTTTTTTGGTATCTACTTTTAATGTTTGAAGTTGTATTGAATGCCAGAAATAACTCTTATCTGTGGATCAAGAAATTTGTTTTTTGCTACCTACTAGAGGCTCATTAATTTGAAAATGATTTATTATTACTCACAATAAGTCCTGAGGCATGGGGCTTGGAGCTGGAGATAAAATTATAGGCATTGTCCCTACCCTCATGGAGGCTGCAATTAGCAGCAGGGACATGGTGGGGTGTACAATTAAATGGGAAATTAGGATGTCATGTGATATATATTCTGTTGGGATTAGGTCCAAAGTACAATAGAATAAAGAAGTGAGGACGATTAACCAGTGTTTAAGGGTAAGAACAAGTTCTGAGGGAAGTCAGCCCTAAGCGGAAGCCCGGAAGCTTATGGGTGTATAGAGGGGGAGGTTGCCAGTGGAAGGTGGGTGGGGTGCTCTGCTGGTGTTTCTGAGAAAGAGAACAGTATATGTAAGGCCTGGAAGTGAGAGAGAAAGCGTGTCTAGAACGTATGTGGAGGTGTGAGTGTTTGGGAGGGTGAGTGAAATCACAGGAAATGGTGGGCTGTGAACTTTGGGAGATAAGAAGCCTCATGAATGGCCTTGTTTGTTGAACTAAGGATTTTGGACTTTATTCTGAGAGCTTTAGGGACCCTGATTTTAAGCAGGGCCTCATGTTTGCACTTAAAAAAAAGTATGTCTGACTGTTATATGGGGAAGGACTGGTGAAGATTGAGACTAGAACATGGGAGAGCTAGGAGAGACTAGGACATGGGAGAGCTAGGAGGTTGTGGTAGTACTGAAGAAGAGGGACGATGACAGCCTGAACAAAGACAGTGTCTGCGGGCAGAGGGTGGGGAATGGAGAGGAGGAGGTTGACTTGAGAAACTTAAGAAGGGAACATTGATAGGATTTGGACACTGATTGGACATGGAGTTGTATAAGACAGAGAGATTAGAAGGATGCCAGGCACTGGGGTGTGGGAGCTGGGATGGATACCTGTGCCATTGCCATTCACTGAGAGGAGAATGCAGGAGTGGAACATATTTGGGCGGGGAGTGAGGTGGCTACAGGTCAGGTTCTGAGGGGAAGCAGGCTCTGAAATAGAGATTTACATGTACCTTATTAGGAAGTGCTCTGAGAATCAATTCTGGGATAGGAGTGAGGTGGTGAAGGAAGAAGAATTGGGCAGAAGGAGAAGTTGAGCTGCAGTGGTGACAACACATACTGAACTCATTCCTACAGGGAGCTTTGGAGCTGGAATGGCCCGTCAGAGTTGTCCTCAGTTTGGAGAAAGGGGGCCAGGACTGTGTACCATGTTCTTCACCTTGGGCAAGGTGGCTCTCTACAGCCCTATACAAGTCTTAGATCTCCATTCAGGGGAGAGCTGTTAGTTGCCAGCTGTCACAGCAGTTGTAAGAATGTATCCTTTGCTCATGGAAGTAGATCTCCACATGCCACAGCATCGACTACAGGGTATGATGTTAAGCAAAGCATGTCCCTGGACTTCTTCCTGTGGCTAAAATGGACTAGATGACTACTATTTTATTTTATTGGAAGGGAAGAATGAAAGCCCTATTTCTCACCTGGTCACCCTCTTTGCCTTTCATATCTTGCCCCTCAACATCAAAAGGGGTCTAGGTTCTTTATCTGCAAACATAGCACTTGCCTCACTTAGTAATTATACATTCACTGATGTGATTATGTAATTACTGTCCGTTTCCCTGATTGTAAGCTCCATGAGAAAACAGCTTTGGTTCTTGAAACATTATATCACCAGTTAGCATGTTGCCTGCCCTTTAGTAACACTAAAATATTATTTGAATGAAGAATGAACATCCCATGAAAACCAGAGGATTTTATAACTAGGAAACCACCAGATTTAATCAGCCCATTTTTAACAGATACAGATATAGGGGTTCTGAAAGGTGAGGTGGTTCTATAAGACCAACACTGAATTAGTGGGAGAGATCTCTTAGAGTGCATATCATTGCTTCTGTTCCTCCTAGAGCTGGGGCTAGAAGGGTCCTCATCAGGGCAGGAGAGGGAGTGACCAGATATTTGCTGCTTTTTTCCTGTTGAAGTGGATGGAGAATTTGGTGGTGTTATATTAGGATCATATCAAATTGACATAAGCTGTACTTGCTTAAAAGTGAGTCAGCCAGTTAAGTCAAGAAATGAGTTTCAGTGCAATCTAAATTGAGTGGTAGGGGCTCCATTTATATTTCTCTTTGAAATTTTCTGCAAGTTCACCCCCCTGCCCTTCCTGGCAGCCTTTTAAACTCACCTTTCCAAAGGCATTCTCTCTAGTGCATTGATCTAGCACTTTACAGGCTTTCCTGGTATTTCTCACTTGTCTCATGTGTATTTCTCACGCCCACGCCCATGATCACAAGGAAGAAGAAACGGTGTCCTTCTCCATTGTGGCTGAGGTTCTGAGGAATGGAGTATATGTGAGTCCCCTTTCACCCAGTTGTTTGTTTTAGCTGGAGTGTCTGAATCAAAGCCACTGCTAATTGTACTCCACAGTGATTGCCACCAGTTCTTTCTTGTTTTAGCTTCTTACTACATCAATTCATTCTCTAGTTCCTTTGGCAACTGTAACATTGAAATAATTGTATATCCTGGCTGTAAAGGCTGGGCAAACACAATCATGATGAGGCCTGCCTGGGAGATTTAAGGGTTATCCTCCACACAATTCCCATGTCTTTCACTTTAGACAAAGAGATTTGTATTGCTCAGAAGCAGAGAATCTAGGTTTCTGTGGAATCTGTTGGAGTTGGAAGGTACCTCTGAGGTCATTTTGTGGCACAGCAGGACTGTCTGACCCATTTTTATGTTTTATTACAGCAAAATGTATCTATGGAGGAAAAGTTCTTGCAGAAGGCCAGCGGATTTTAACCAAGAGCTGTCGGGAATGCCGAGTAAGTGTTAATTTTATGGTCCCTATCACTTCTGGAAAACGAATAGATAGATGTGTGGGCTTTAGATAAGGTTCTTGAGTGGGGCATATTGGCCTGGATAGGTCCCTGAGGGGTGGAACTCTCTGCGGTGGGCTGGAGTACAGGATGGGGAGGATCCAGCCACTGTCATTTATGTGGTTAGCTTGTGGTCAGCTGTGGGTCAGGTAGCCTTGGAAGAAGCTATTAAGGCAAGGATGTGAGAGGAGAAAGAACTAACAGCTACTATTAGTTAAGGAGGCTGGTGGGTGGCCCCGGGAAAAGGTTTTGAGTTGGTGTTAGGGGAATCAGTCTGCGATGCTAGTTGTGATAATACTAATTCTACTCCCAGAGGGCTGATATACTGTTAAAAATGCCTCTTTCTCCTGCCTGCCCGTCCTATGTATTACTTGAAATAAGGTGTATAAAATCATAGATCTCATTCAATAATCATTCAACAAATATGCATTAAGCAAATGCTATATGACAGCATTATAGTGTCTGGATATACAACAGTGAACAAAACATAGTCACTGTATTTATAGAACTTGCAGAGTAGTGAGGGAGATAGTAAGAATTAAACATATAATATAAAGCCAAATTCTATAAAAGTATGAAGTAGGCTGAAGGAATAGAGAGGTCTGAGGTGGGGATGGGTGGACTAAGAAGACCGCTCTGAAATGTAAGTTTGGAACAAAGCCCTGGGTAAGGTGTGGGAGCCAGCCATGCAAGTATTTGGGTGAGTGATGACTTAACCAATAATTGCTTCCTAGGTAGATGAGGGAGAAGGCACATTCCAAACAAAAGGAATTGAACTTACAAATGCCTAAAGCAATAAAGACAGCAGGTTTTACTTAGGGACCTGCAAATAATTTGACTTGGGTGAAGTTCTAGAGGACATGTGGGAGAGTGATGAGAGATGAACCTGAACAGATAGACAGAACAGGTGAGAATGAAACTAGTTTGGACTTGATCTTAATGGAGATGAGAGTTCATTGAAGCTTGCGTGCTCTCTCTCTCTCTCTCTCTCTCTCTCTCTCTCTCTCTCTGTGTGTGTGTGTGTGTGTGTGTGTGTGTGTGTGTGTTACGAGCAGCCATGCATTTCCAAAGGTCACTGTGATTGCAATGGGAGGAGTGATTGGAGGAGCACCAGATTAATTTGAATAATTGTAAGAAATCACCTAAGGTTATGATTGAAGGCAGTGATAGTGAAGATGTACAGGAAAGGAGATTCGAGAGCTGTTTGAAAAATGGAATTGAAAGGACTCGAGTGATTGGGTTTGGGGAAGGCTAATATGATGGGGAAGAGAAACCCAGATGATGTTCAGGTTCCTGGTAGAGTTGCAGGGAATACCAGTTTCTGTTTTCCCAAGTAGCCAAAACCTCCCGTGGCTAACGTAGGTTAAAATGACAATGTTATTGAAATGATATTGGGGGACTCGCAGAATCCTCAAAAGTCCAGACCAGGCTTGATACTTGATAGAAACCAGAGTCCCAGAAGTTAGGAAGCAGAAACCATAGCAATGGCCTACTAGCGGGGATCCTGGCAAGCACATTGCTGCTGTGATGAGTGACTTTCAATCATTTCTACTGTCCTGGAGTCACTTATACAAGATTTAAAGTTCAGAGAGAGGACATATGATTAGCGAAGTTTGGATCATATGTCCAAGCTCTGATTGTTCAGGATGGGGAAGAATTCAACTCCTTTATCCTCTGTGTAAGGAGCTGGTTACCTGGAATTACCACCCCATTAAGACTGCATGCAATGGAGAAAACATTCCCCAAGAACACTGTGTACTCATGGGAAGGGAGACTGGATCAGAAGAAGCCAAAACGTGATAAATGCTCTCTGCATTAGGTGATGACGAGACACTGATGCAGGAAGAGGGACATTCAGGAGGAGGAACATGTTTTGTGGGTGAGGAGGGAATGAAGAGCAAATGAGACCAGGTTTAGACGTGTTGAGTTTGATTGTATTTTGGCTATCTACACAAACTCTAAAACTTAGTGGCTAAAACTTATATTTTATGATTATTTCTCGTGGTTGCATGGGTTGAATGGGCTCAGCTCAATGATTCTCACTTGGGTTCTCACATGCAATTGCAATCCGATGGCTGCTGGAGCTGGAATCCTATGAAGGCTTGACATGGCTGGCTCTCAAAGATGGCTATTTTATTTTTGTGTCTAGCACCTCAGCAAAGATGAATAGAAAGAGATTTCTCTCAGGTGCGCTCTCTCTCTCTCTCTCTCTCTCTCTCTCTCTCTCTCTCTCTCTGTGTGTGTGTGTGTGTGTGTGTGTGTATGAGTGTTCCTTGTTCTCTGCAGCCCCTAGACATGTCTACCTTTGGCTTTTTTTTTTTTTTTTCTTTTTCTTTTCTGATACTGGGTCTCGCTCTGTCTCCCACGCTGGAGTGCAGTAGCACAGTCTCGGCTCACTGCAACCTCTGCCTCCTGGGTTCAAGCAATTCTCCTGCCTTAGCCTCCTGAGAACCTGGAATTACAGCCACGTCATCATGCCCAACGAATTTTTGTATTTTTAGTAGAGATGGGGTTTCACCATGTTGGCCAGGCTGGTCTTGAACTCCTAACCTTGTGATCCACCTGCCTTGGCCTCCCACAGTGGTGGGATTACAGGCGTAAGCCACTGCACCTGGCCCCTTGGGCTTCTTTATACCATGGTGGTCTCAGGGATTTCTCACATGCTGGTCAGGTTCTCCCAGAATAAGCTTTCCAAAGACCAAGGTGAAAGCACCAATATTTCTTATAACCTGGTCTCCAAAACTGGAACATCATTTCTTCTACATTCTAAAGGCTATATAGGCCCAGGCCAGATTTATTGTAGAGGCAGACAATACAAGGGCAAGAATACCAGGAGGCATGATTCATTAGGTAGACAGGCATCTTTGGAGACCAGCTATCATAATAAGACTTTGTTATATAATTTTCTACTTAAAAATACCCACCTGCAGCCAGGCCTGGTGGCTCATGCCTGTAATCCCAGCATTTTGGGAGGCTGAGGCGGACGGATCACCTGAGGTCAGGAATTCAAGACCAGTCTGGGCAACATGGTGAAACTCCGTCTCTACCAAAAATACAAAAATTAGCTGGGCATGGTGGTGCATGCCTGTAATCCCAGCTACTCCGGAGGCGGAGGCAGGAGAATTGCTTGAACCCAGGAGGCGGAGGTTGCAGTGAGCTGAGATTGTGCCACTGCACTCCAGCCTGGGCGACAGAGTGAGACGTCAATCTCAAAAAAAAAGTAAAACAAAACAAAACAAAACCCACCTCCAGCGTATCATAATGGGAAGTTACTAACCTAATAGGTTAGTGGATTTCCATGGCTGAAAAACATTAGGAATCAGAGAATTCCTTTAGTTGGGTGAAAATCTATCCCCCCTGTAACTTCTATCCAGTGGCTTTACTTCTTCTCTCTGGAGGGTAAGAGGGTGAGTCTAATTACTCTTACAATGTAGCATTGTGGTTGAAAGGTCAAAATCTGCAGTCAGGTGGACCTGGGTTTAAATCCTGAAATTTTACCTAATTGTTAATGAAGTTCAGAGTTCCTTGTGTTCTTTTCCCCCATTGGGTTCTAGTAAGAGCTGGGTTGGAGAATATCACTTTAGATTATTACTTCCTCCTGCACGGTATTTTTTCTCACCTCACCACTCCCACTGCAACATAATGGAAGATAATTACAGGCATAATCACTAGCCCTGGAGGAATGTGGAATATTTTGCCTAGTGCCTTGTGTTGAACTGTCAAACCCATCCCTTTTCTGCCTAACATGAGCTGGGATACACTGGTCAGAATAGTAACACTTCTTACCTATCTGATCCTAGTTTCTAGAAAATAGAGCCTGAGGCCTAGGTATTTGTGTTGATGCTTTATTTATTCTTTGGTGGTCATGGGGGTGGATAGAGGAGGGGGAAGGGTATAGTCCTAGGAATGCAAGAGTGAGGCACAGACAGAAGGAAGTATGGAAGGAAAGGCAGGAGAGCAAGTACAAGATGGTGCATAGCAGAAAAGCCAGAACCCCACAACAAAGCACAACTGGCTTTGTGAGGCATCTCCTGACAAGCTGACAGAAATCACTGTGTCTCAGAAAAGACCATCCTTGCAAGTGCTCTTACTTACATTGTTTCATTTTCTTTTCATCACACCTCTGGGAAAACAGACAGGAATGCATTTTAAAGATTGAAAAGAATGAGGCATTTAGAGACTTGCAGAAGCACTCAGGGAGATACTAATCAAAGAAGAGCTTGAATTTTGTTCTTTATGGAGGACTAGGCAGGACTTTCCCTATATTCTGTCTCTCATTGGCCAGACTGTACCCTAAAGGTTAGCTTCCTTGAACCTCCCTATTTTGATTTCCATTCTTGCCCTCTTGGCTGCTGCTGGGAATGCCAGAGATTCCACAAGTCCGGATGGTCTGGTGGGTACGCCCGTGTGGTGGTCTCTCTGCATCAGTGGGTACTGATGCAGTGGGTACTGCATCAGTGCCTAATTATGTAGCTGTGTGTCTGGAATTGGTGGGTTCTTGGTCTCACTGGCTTCTCACTGACTCAAGAATGAAGCCGCGGATCCTCGTGGTGGGTGTTACAGTTCTTAAAGATGGTGTGTCCCGAGTTTGTTCCTTCAGACGTTCAGATATGTCTGGAGCTTCTTCCTTCTGGTGGGTTCATGGTCTCACTGTCAGGAGTGAAGCTGCAGACCTTCACGGTGAGTGTTACAGCTCTTAAAGGCAGCGTGGACCCAAAGAGTTAGCAACAGTAAGATTTATTGAAAAGAGCAAAAGAACAAAGCTTCCACGGTGTAAAAGGGAACCCCAGCCCGGTTACAGCTGGTTGGCTGGGCAGCCTGCTTTTATTCCCGTATCTGACGCCACCTACATCCTGCTGATTGGTCCATTTTACAGAGAGCTGATTGGTCCACTTTACAGAGAGCTGATTGGTCCATTTTGCCAGAGTGCTGATTGGTGCATTTAC